TAACCACAGAAAAATTCAACAAAGAAAGAGAATTTTAGACCAGTTTCTGTTATGAACATTGATGTAAAACTACTCAATAAAATACTCATAAATCGAATCCAAGAACTTATCAAATACATCATCCACCATGATCAAGTGTGCTTTGTCCCAGGGACTCAAGGATGGTTCAATATCTGAGAATCTATTAATGTAGTCCACCATATAAACAATCTGATATAAAAAAGATCATGTGATCATCTAATTAGATACTGAAAAATCCTTTGACAAAATCCAACAGCCCTTCATGTTAGAAGTCTTGGAGAGATCAGGAATACAGATAACATACCTAAGCACAATAAAGGCAATATACAGCCAGCCAATAGCCAACACTAAATTAAATGGATAGAAACTTATAGCAATTCCAATAAAATTGGACAAAACAAGGCTACCTACTCTCTTCGTATTTATTCTATGAAATACGAATATGGAACCTGAAGAATCAGACAACTAAAGGAGATCAAGGGGATACAAGTTGGAAAGGAAGAAGTCAAAGTATCTCTGTTTGCAGATGATGTGACAATGTATGTATAAGTGGCGCAAAACATCCTACCAGAGAACTCCTTAAGCAACATATCCAGATGCAAAGTTAACTCAAAACAAAACAACAACAAAAAAACTAGTAGCTCTCCTTTATAAAAATGATAAATGGCCGAGAAAAAAAATATTAGGAAAATAACATCTGTTACAATAGCCACAAATAATATATCTTGGTGCAACTAATCAATCAAGTGAAAGACCTATATGACAAGAACTTCAAGTCTCTGAAGGAAAAGACTGAAGATATCAGGCGATAGAAAGATCTCCCATGCTCATGGATCAGTAGGATTAACATAGCAAAAATGGCCATTTTACCAAAAGCAATCTACAGATTCAAGGCAATTCCCCACCAAAATTCCAACACAATTCTTTACAGACCTTGAAAGAGCAATTCTCAACTTCATATGGATAAACGAAAAATCCAGGATAGCTAAAGCAATCCTATACAATAAAAGTATTTCTGGAAGTATCATTATCCCCAATTTCAAGCTGTACTATAGAATAATAGTAATAAAAACTGCATGTTATAGCATAAAAAGACAGGTTATCAATGAAATAGAATTGAAGATACCAGAAATAAACCACATGCCTATAGATTCTTGATTTTTGACAATGAAGGAAAAAACACAATGGAAAAAAGAAAGCATCTTCAACAAATAGTGTTGGTCTAACTGGATGTCTGCATATAGAAGAATGCAAATAGATTCATATTTATTACTCTGCACAAAACTCAAATCTAAGTAGATCAAAGACCTCAACATAAAAGTGGACACACTTAAATCTAACAGAAGAGAAAGTGGGGAATAGTCTTGAATACATTGGTAAGGACATGACTTCCTGAGCAGAAAGAACTCCAACAGCTCAGGCACTAAGATTAACAAATTATTTAATGAGACTTCATGAAACTGAATATCTTCTATAAGGCAAAAGATACCATAAAGATCTTCACCAACTCCTCATCTGACAGAGGACACATATCTAAATTATTTAAACAACTTAAGATATGAACCAAATAACCCAATTAAAAAGTGGAGAACAGAGCTAAACAGAGAATTCTCATTAGAGGAATTTCAAATTGGCTGAGAAGCACTTAAAGAAATGTTCAACAGGAAAATGCAAATCAAAACAACTGTGAGATTCTGCCTTACACACGTCAGAATGGCTAAGATCAAAATCTCAATTGAGCATATAATGACAAAGATATGGAGCAAGGGGAACACTCCTCTGTTGCTGGTGGGAGTGTAAACTTGTACAACCACTTTGGAAATCAATTTGGCGGTTTGTCAGAAAGCTGAGAATAGATTTACCTCAAGACTAAGCTACACAACTCCTGGGTATAGATGCTCCATCTTACCAGAGGGTCACTTGCTCAACTATGTTCACAGCAGCTTTATTAGTAACAGCCAGAAACTGGAAACAACTTTGATGTCCCTCAATCATAGAATGGATTAAAAAAAAAGTGGTACATTTACATAAATTGAGTATTACTTAGCTATTAAAAACAAGGACACCATAAAATTTGTAGGCAAATGGATAGAATTAGAAAATACCATCCCGAGGGAGGTAACCCGAGGTTTAAGGAGGATGCTTGAATGTCATTCAGAAGGGGAATAGGAGGTAGATGAAGGGAGGGAACTAGGTGGGAGAGAAGATGAGGAGGGGAATGGGAGGCGGGTATCAGGTGTGGGGAGAAGGGTGTTGGGAGAGAATGGAAATTGGTGGTGGTGATGAGCAAGAGACCTGGGACAGGGAGTCCATTGGGTGACCCTAGCTGAGACTCCTATCAGTGTTGGATATGGAGTCTGAAGTGATCACCTCCTGTTGCCAGGTGGGACTTTCAGTGGAAGCAGTGGGAAACCAACCCACACACAAAACCTTGGACCCAAAACTTGGTCTGTCTACAAGATATGCAGGGATATGGTGCAGAACTGAAGGAATTTCCAACCAACCAATGATTGGCACAATGTGAGACCAACGCCATTGGAGACAACCAACTCCTAACACTATTAGTGATACTCTGCTTTGCTTGTAGACAGAAGCCTAGCATAATTGTCTTCTGAGAGGTTCTATCTAGCAGCTGATGGAAACAGACAGAGATCCACAACCAAACAATAGGGAGAGCTTAGGGAGTCTTGTGGAAGAGTGGTAAGGAGAACTGAGGGAACCAGAGAAATCAAGAACACAAAACCTACAGAGTCAACTAACCTGGGCCCATGGGGGCTCACAGAGACTGAACCACCAACTAAGTAGCATACATGGGGTGGACCTAGGCACTCTACAGCAGCTTGGTCTTCATGTGGGACCCCGTAACAACTGGAGCGGAGGCTGTCTTGTACTTTGTTGCCTTCAATTGGATCCCTTTTCCCTAGCTGTGCTGCTTTGTCTGGCCTCAGTGGCAGAGGATGTATCCTAGGGGTATACCCACGGCAGGGGCATGGGGGCTCCCAATCTCTGAGGAGAAGGGGAGAAGAGAATAGGGGGAGGGGAGTGTGAGGGTGGGAATGAGAGACGGGGTGGGGGCTGTGATCAGGATGTAAAGTGAAGAAAGAAAGAAAAAACATGGCAATCAGATATTAGACTCTTATTTTTTTTAAGTTGCTAATAATTTGCCTTACAGAGTAGCAAAGCAGAAACAGAAATCAGTGTGAATAACGGCTTCAGAAATTTGATTGCTTCCAGGGAGCTATTAGGTCCAGTGTATACTCCTTAGCTCTTGAAATGATCAAACTATCATAGATCTGTGCTAATAATTATTATTACTTTTTCAACTCTAAAGATAAATTTGTCTGAATGCACTCACATAATATCATTCAAATCTGCTGGGGTGCCATAAGATGGCCATAGAATAAAGAACACTGACTCAGTAGAACATAAACCTGTTTTTTAAATTAGAGCCAAAGTGTAGCAGTGTGAACTGTTTGGATACACATAATAATATTCCTAGCAAATCTTAATCACTATCCATCAATATTTTGCATTTATAAAGGTTTCTTACACATATCATTTCATTCCATGTGTATCCTCTTTACAAACGGGGAAACTGGGTTTGAATTTCTGCCCAAGGTGGCAATGAACTGACTCAAATCTGAAGCTTTGGTTTCCTATCTTGAAATCCTTGGTTTTCTCATCACAACCATTAGAAAAACAAACCCTGATTAATGACAAGTAGCATAGCAGTGACAGCTTGAGAAAATGGAAGTTTTATTGCACGGAAGCTTAGCATGAGTAGACTATACTACATACACTTTTATAGGACAACTGCACCGAAGACTAGATTTCCTCATAGTTCTTCATCTTTAGCAAAGAAGCTGGATGGAAATAAGTAAGTGTTAACGTGGCAGGATAGAGATTAGAACCTCTCAAACGTTAATAGAATAACAATTACCTGAGGATCCTGTTAAAATTAAAATTGTGATTCCTAAGTCTGAGACAAGACTCAAATTACTGTATTTCTAATAAGCTCCTGTGTGAAACTGATGGAAAGGGGCATAAAAACTGCATTCAAATAAAGACCCCTCATTTAAATCCTTGAGATAGTCTCAGACAGGCTGAGTTGCCTGGAAGACTCTCAGACCAACGAGTGTACCTTGAAAGGATACTCTTCAATCTGTTGAGCGGCCTGCAGGTTGTGAAGTGTGCTCCATGTTTCCAGCTTTCATCCATGCTAGCATAGGTTTTAGTGGTACAGCTGGCTTTGAGACAGTTTTGTTGCCTCACTCATATTCCTATATGGCTAAATCCCTTACTTATAATTTTGGGACAATACACATTATATATTATACTGAAAGTGCATGTACACATTTGGTAGCTAAATCTTTATATACAGGACTTAAGCAACTTCTATATGAATGTCGTGTCTTTGTTTCATAGAACTCTTCCAACTGAAATCCAACTTGGAATCCTATACAAGAGTGAAAATGCTGAAACTAAGGCGAGGCTTTCAGAGACTACCTACTATTACACTTAGAGATACGTAGGACTGCTACTCTAATCTCTCTCGACAGAGTACTACCATGATGTTGTAAGACTGAAAATTATAGTTTCTGTGTTTGTATGTGTGTGCATATCTCTGGAGGACAGAAGTTTCTTGCTGTTGGTGATCTTCCTCTACTGCTCCCTAACTTAAGCCTTCAGGCCCGTCACTTGTCCAAAAGATAACACTGAAGATATGTTTGACCCCACAGCCACCAGGATGAGCTTCTTTTCAGCTACCATACCTTCAAATTCATCTGCATTAAATTTGGTAAAGCCCCTCTTTTTTTGAAATGTGGACTTTTTGGTAGCCAGGGAATTTGATCTTGGGTCCATGCAGGGCCTCAATCACATGTTCCTTATTCTCCAGCTTGATGTGGATGCACATGACCCAGGCAGTGTGAACCCTAGCCACTGTACCCCAGAGCTATTGAGATAAGAGATATGACTATCAGTGTCTTCGGGGTCCCTTAGAGAAATCCATATAGGCAACAGGCCTCATACATTCCCAAACTTGCTCTCTTTTACAGCCACTGAATATAAGAGGTACACCTTATTTTGGTTTGAGATAAGAATGTTTCATTGACTCTAGAATTCACTGATCAGCAATACTACCTATCAGAAAGCTACAGGCATCCTGTCTCTGCTTCCTTGGAATGGTATTATAGGCACACAACTGCTTTTTAAAAGGCATGGTGTGGGGTTCTGAACTCTGATCCTTGCATTCTGATGCTTGTACAGCAAATACTTCACGGAGTCATTTCCTTAGCCCTTAGGATGTTCTTGAAATATCTCTACTCCTTGATCTAGGAGATTAAAAAGTTGTCTCCACCAAACACAAAACACCTACTATGGCCAGGCAGTGGTGGCGCACACCTTTAATCCCAGCATTTGGGAGGCAGAGGCAGGCCTGAGTTTGAGGCCAGCCTGGTCTACAGAGTGAGTTCTAGGACAGCCAGGGCTAAACAGAGAAACCCTGTCTTGAAAAAATCCCAACCTAACCCAACCCAACCCAACCCCACTCCACCCCACCCCACCCCAAAAAACACCTACTATGGCGGTCATTGCTAAGGATCTGGGGTTGAAATTGGATGGGCAGGGGCTATGGTGGGGGAACTCATCCCAAACGTGGTGGCTAAAGTAGTGGCATAACAAAAGAGAATTTCTGCACTACATGTTGGCTGATTTCAACTAAGTAAAAGGAAAAACAGAAGTGAAAACAGAAAAGGTTAAGCATCATTCTTGAGTTTTGTGGTACTATCAATGTAATATGAATAGGCACAGGCTACTTTCCAGTAAATTATATATCCACAGGTAAGGACCAAGTGCTATAGGGTTTTATGCATCTAAACAATACAACTGGAGCTTTTTTCCTAGGGTTTTAAGTGGGAATTTGAATATAAACTACACTGGTCAGAGGTAATATGGCGAATATGAATGTTGACCATAGTCACATTGTTTAGCCTTGAATGTTTCTGTACCTAACTAGCTGGGTGTGTGATCTGGGACAAGTCACTTCACTTTTCTAAGCTTCAGTTGTCTACAAATTTGGTTATCAACACAACATCCATTTCATAAAAATCTCTTATATTAAAGAGACATAATATCTGCAAAGCTTCTAGCATCATGCCTAGCACATAGTAAACATAAATTATATAAACTGATAACACTAGCTAAAGAGCTAACAGTGGTAGTATTATTATTCAACCCAAGTTTTTGTGAAAGATTATCTTTAAGATAAATCCTTGGTCTTTTGGGCATGGTGATGTAGGCTTGTCATCCTAGTACTTGGGAAGCAGAGGCAAGAGGATCATAAGTTCAAGGCCAGCTGGGCTATATAGTGATACTCTAGCTCACATGGAAAAGACAAAACTTTAAGTAATATTTTACATCTGTATATTACATCTATATTACTGATAGTATACAAATGTTCTATGTAAATGATTTGGGCAAGACTACATAGCTATAACTGAGATGGTTATAGATATGACGGCCAATGTTTATACTCCCCCTACTTGGGATGCTTAGCTAGAAGGGCTGCTACAAGTCTGAGGTTAACTTGGGATGTACAGTGAGTTTCAGGTCAACCCAGGTCACTGAGTAAGACCTTATCTTAATCTCCTGCCATCCAAAAAAAGGGAGGGGGGGGCAGAAGTAATGTCAAAGTCAAGCATTCTGACTCCATAGAATAATATTGTTAAGCATCGTGATTTACTGCAATAGGAAAGGTATACTTGTAAAAAATTTTCAGCAAAAATGGGTGCCATTTTAGAAGTCCTCACATATGTCATGTACGGTACTAGATTTCTGTGTGTTATTTCTATATAGTTATCCACACTGTAAATATTATTATTCAACCGTACAAATACGTAATTAGACTCATAGAATTTACATCTCCCACCCAGCTGTAGTACCATTAGTAGACGTTAGCACCTATCTGCAATCCTGTGCAGCATGAACACTCCATAGTGTTTTTAAGAAAGGTTTCTAATCTCTCCCCACACCCCATTCAACTCTAAATTGACAAGTGACTAGTGAAAATTATTAGCTTACTACTTTTATTTAAATATTACTGAGCGTTACTACCATTTTTATCTTAGGTCTAAACACAAAGTTGTCAAAGAACTCCAAACCTAACTTTTCATTTCTACTCTACAAAGATATATATATGGTATATATATCTTGGGATCTCAACTATACCTGGCTACAATGATTCTATCATGGTATTCAGATGCAGTCAAACAATATTGTAGTTGTTGAACAACAGATAACTAGAATTTGAACATATCTGACCTGAAATCTGAACTTCAGAGTACTTGCAAAGGTTTCAGAGCACTGACATGACTTAAAAAGTTGTAGACTTTGAAACCAGGGTTACCATACCAGAGCTGTGAATTCTAGAACAGTCTGAGCTGCAGAGAACCATTCACTAACAAACAAACATACATTCATTCATTTTGTAGCATTTATATTTCAAGTTTAGATCAGGGATACTCAACCAACAAAGTCTATGCAAATAGTCTTAATTCTCCAAAGTTCTGGAATCAGAAAAATGTCTGGTTCCAGGTTCCAAGTATTTTATGTGTATTAGTAAGCATGATACCAGCTACTAAGTTTACACACATACACACACACACACACACGTATATATGTGTATGTATATTTAAAAAAAAACCGCAGGACCATGAAAAAACACACAAATACTCTTAAAACTTTCCTCTAAAAATTGGATTACTACTCAATTCTATTCTAAGACTAACAAAAGAACCAACCTTGAAAGTTCCTGAGACAATCTGATGTTCTGGTATGTAGAATTTAGTGTGCATTTGCCCCGAGTCACAGAAAGTGTCTACTTGTATTTCCCCTTATACAGTTTTTACTTTTACCTTTTGGACTCAAGGATTATCCTAGAGAAACACCTTTGACATGATGGATATATAAAACTTGAATTCTGGAGAGCAAGTACTGAGGCAAAAAGGAATTTCCGTCTTCTATTCATATGTCTATACTTTGTCCTACAAAAGAAAGCAAGAAAGAGGTTCAATGAGAATGTTAACTCATACGTGAATATCAGTCTCCCATGCCCCTCAGTGGACACCTTTACTATTTAATAGATCATCAACATCTCCAAACCCACAGCTGGAATTTCATCATATTTCTGAATATAATTCTTATGAAAACCAATCAGTCAATATTATCTCTTGTTTCATTATCAGTGAAGGCAGTGTCAATATACTGGTTTTTCTTTTTTGTACTGTGGGATTAAATCTGGGGACACATACATGGTAATCAAGTACTGAACTATATCCAAGGCCTGTGATGATGCACTGAAAAGAATTAAAAGAAAAACTGAATGACTACTTCTGAGCAACTAGTCTATTCTAGTAATTTATTAGAGAAATCACTTAGCTTGTTCACAGTTTTTACAAAAGATACAGAAGTTGTGGTTACAATTTTAATGGGAAGAATTTTCCATGAACCAACTCCTTTCTTCCTCTTCCTTGTGCTTTTGGGAGTTCTCCCTGTTTTGTCCAGATTAGTCTTGAACTCATGGGCTAAAGTGATCCTGAGGAACTAAATTATTTGGGACAGTAGCTGAAAACTGCTTTAGTAGATTTCATTGAGAAGAGTTTTACAGTTTGAAGAGAGAAAGGAAACATTTAGCAAAATAAGAATGCTACCTGGTCTAAAAGGTCAGGGTGGTTTTTGTTGTTTTTGTTTTTTATTTTACAATCCTTTATATAAGCATGTCAAAGATATAAAAGCAACACTCTTCTTTTATAATTTAAATTCTTTAAATTGTATATTGACTTACATTTTCCCCTCAATGACTAATTTATACAGAGCATAAAATAAGTGCTTTCAATAAAGAAGTCTATGTTTTTTCAGAGTTATTCAATTTGTAAAAATGTGTGATCTGCCTTGACCTCATGAAGGCTGGATGCCCCAGGGGGTGGGAATTTGAGGGTGGGGAGGTAGGAGTGAGGGGGGTAGGTAGGGGCTACATCGCAGAGAAGAAGGAGGAGGGGTGAGGGGATGGGGGTTCCTGGGTGGGTGGGGGATAGGGTAAGGGGACAACATATGAAATGTAAATAAAACATTCAATAAAAAAAAAATGTGTGATCTGTTTCTGGGACTGGAATCAGTAAATTCTGACAAAGTAAAATTCAGTTAGGCATAGCTTTTCAAAGATCATTAAGAGAAATGTGTTAACTGTAAAAGATTTCTACAAATCCTGTGTCAACATGTAGAACAGAGGAAGGACTGCCTGGTCTGGCCTCAGTGGGACATGGTGTGCCTAACCCTGGACACTTGAGGGCCCAGGGAGTAGGGAGGCCTGGCAGGGGTGTAAGGAGGTGGGGAGATCCTCTTAGACGGGGTGGGGTGGTGGAATGGGATGAGGAACTGTGAGAGGGCAGACAGGGAGGGGTTAACAACTGGAGTGTAAAAAAAAAAAAAAAAAAGTAATTTAAAAAAAATTCCCAGGTTAAGACATAGTATTTCTATGATAATAAGATTTTTCCTATTACTTTTTTCAATGATGTCTGTGTCACTAAGTATATAAGCTACACTTAGGGGTAGATCCCATACCCAGCAGTAAATAGCTAATACAACACGAACTCAAAATTTTTGTCTCATATTGCTTTGGGCATTTTTTCTTACTGATCTTTTGCTTGTATTATAGTTCTGAATTTTTATGGCGTTTGTGTGTGCACGCACAGGTGAGCTTTTCCTGTGAATTTTCTTTTTTAAAATTCTTTGTATTTGCTTGTTTCTTTTTCGTTTTCCTTTTTTTTTTTTTTTTTGCCATTTCCACCTTCTACTGAAAATATTTTTTTTCCTCACATAATATATTCTGATTCCGGTTTCCTCCCCTCTACCTCCTCCCAGTTCCTCCCTACCTCTCCTGCCATTCCAAAGTACTCCTTTTCTGTCTCTCATCAGAAAACAAAACAGGCTTCTAAAAATAAAATAAAATAAAATAAAATAAAATAAAATACAAAAGTTAACACATTGGAATTGAACAAAATAAAAAGGAACAGAGCTTGAGAGAAGATCCAAGAAAGAGAAATCCACTCATACTTAGGGATC